GACATCCTAGATTAAAATAGGCGTAAAACTGCAAATTTCGGGAAAAAGGTTGGGGAACTGAAAAGTTAATGTAAATTGCTTGAAAAAAGATCACGGAAAAATAATATACTCATTTATGGACTGGAAATTCCAGAGTCTACTTCTATAGCTACTCATGTGACCAATATACTTTCCGAACTCCTTTGAAGTTGAACTAGAAGTACGAGATATCAACAATATTTGAACTGTTACAAACTGTAACAAACTCAAACATAAAACAATTACTATATCGCAAGATCTTTCGATCTCGGATGGAAAAGATCAGAAGCTATTAGTAGCCTGCACCTGAAGTTAACTAAATCGAAAAACCTTAATGCGTTTATAAAAGGGAAAAAGCTGGCTGTGAATGGAAATGTATATGCGGTTGAAAACCTAAGGGAACTTGAAGAATCAACTGTTCTATCCCTTCGAAAAGTGATAAGTCAGGTACCTCAAAATATATCGCTCGTTATTTGAAAATGAAAGATTTGGATGTATCTTACAGAACGAATAACATTTTAGTCAGATTTATTAAAAACAATGAGGACAAACTTCATTGTTGAATTGACTAGGAATGTATAAATGGACTTGTGGTTCTTACCGAAAACTTCATATTGGTCAAACAGGAAGAAGTTTTTCCAAGGGAATAAAAGATCACAGGAGTATTTTTTTGACTGTCAAATAACAATTCGATATTTGCCAATCATCTTTTGGCAAAAGGCAATGAGTTCAATCACGACTATGATTTGTCATATTCAGAAGAGGAATGTTTGAAACAGTTATTGAATAACTAAATAGAATTGAATGAATCCTCTTTATTATATCAGTTTTCTAATAAATAAATTGCTAATGAATTGCTACGTATATTTAGTTAATTTTCTTTTATTGCATGTCGATTTGAATGAGTTTGTCTGAAAAATTTCTTCCCTTATATTTAAATTATTTATCAGTTTATGCCTAAACTCGAGTTGAAACTATCAGTCATTAAGAAGAGAAAAAAAGTCATATTATTCAAAATGTCAATTTAAATAGAGCACTAATTATGGGTAGAATTCATTTAGAAGCTTTAAAGCTGAAGAAACTTATGTATAGTGAAACACTTGTTGCGGTTTTGCATACTATTTGATGAAAATCTAGCAATAAAGTGTTCCTTGAATGAATTATTTTGCCTCACTCAAAAAATTGTACATTTATTCTTATTTTGACTCATTTATTCTGAGAATGTCCAAGAAAGAAAGAGAAAATCAGGATATACTTATTTAGTTTATCGTGATACGCGATAGAGATTTTGTTTTGGACCGCACCTCTCGAATTGGTGACGACCCTTAAGGAGGCTGCAGCAAATTGGTCGTAATACAGATTTAATTCGAGATGCATTAGATCTTTCTATTCCCAGCGTAGGTCTGTTATTGCATCGGTATTATACAACAGTTCCCCCTCTCGATGCGGGCATTGTGAAAGTCCGGTTGTGGCCCCTGTTCGGGCCCCGTTCGCGACGAGTCTCCTTGGCGGAGTCGGTGAAAGCAAATGAAACAAACGCTCGAAATCGGAATGCCACCGTCCGCTGCAAGTCGCGGAGCGTCGAATCTCGGATCGAATGCAAAATTACGGCACTAGCGCGTAGGGAAACGAAAATAGACGATGTATCGGTGTTGCCGCGACCCTTTCAAAAAAGTACTAGATGGCGAACGAAAAATGTACTAGATCAAACCTAAAGTACTAATATATATAACGAAAGTTGTTTCCTTATATATTTCTGGTAAACGACTGAAGTTAGTACGACTCCTTCAGGACAGAAAAAAATATGTCCAAAGGGCTTCTTCTTGAAATGAAAAAGCCCAAATAGTATGAACAAGAAGAACAAATATTGAAAATCTGAATAATATTTGGAGTTATTTACATTTATAACTAAAATCAAAACAGTCAACACTGCAAGAATTATAAAAATATAATTATCAATGTCCTTTTACAAAGGACAAAAACCAAGATAAATATATACCAGTTCCATACCACCAATACACGAAGAACTTTGGAAAGATTTTCAAGAAACTAGGTACGAAGGTAGTTTTTAAAACAAGTGATACATACTACAGAGCTTTAAGACACAGTCGAGAATTCGGAAAAGTCTGGAATTTACGAAATTGAATGTAAGGACTGCGATGCCAAATATTATGGACAGACAAAAAGATCTTCCGAAATAAGATTTAAGAAACACTTAGCACAGCTAAAATATAAATAACCAGAAAAATCAGCAGTCGCCCAGCATATTTTGCAACACAACCATTCCATAGACTTAACTTCATCACGATTAGTTAGGCAAGTTAACAACAACAGGCATCTAGATGCCTACGAGAGTATAGAAATAAGTAAACATAATAATATTATGAATAACGATGGTGGACCAATACCTAATAGTATACTATATAGCTTGTTAAAATAATATTTTAATTATTAGATTTACCTGACTATTACATAAGGACACATTGTAAAATCAATTAGTAGATAAGGCAATATTCTGAAATTAATTTTATATAGCTTATAATATTTCAATCATTAAATTCACCTAACTATTACATAAGAACACATTGTAAAATTAATTTAAGAGTAGTAGACAAGGCAATATGTGAAATTATAATATTTGAATTATTAGATTTACCTGACTATTACATAAGGACACTTTGTAAAATTAATTTGAGACAAGTAGATAAGGCAAATTGTTAAATTAATTTAAGACACTCAAAACTCAGGTACCTAGAACAGGTAGATACCTGTATCTATGTATGGTATACATGTATACCTGTGTGGTATAAATAAGGATAGCTTTGTTAGTATGATTAGTTTAATCTTCCTCTTGAAGATGATCACTTGGTGATCGAAACACGTGTCGAGGTGTTAAAATAACGATTTGGTTTTGGGAAAAAAAACTTTTGCCACTTTGGACATGACATAGCTAATGTTAGATTTTTTGAATGGTTGACAAAATAAAAATCTGTTTAAATAGTAACCATGAATGTTCTAATTTTGTGAACTTTTCGTGTGATTATCAGTTTCAAAATGTCGTACACTCAAATAACTTGACCATTTTTTAGAATCTTCCCTATTGTAATTTTATTTTAGCATCCCCATTCTGAAAACGAAAATATGTTTCTTCAGAAATAGCGGTTTTTTTGGAACTTGGGACGTTTATTTGACCACGTTATGCAACAAATACATTTGTAGCAGATCAGAAAAACAATAAAATTTCTGCAATAAACAATTACGATAAAAACATAGGAGAGTATGTTTCTACAACGTAAAAACTTGTTATCCATATTGAGATATTTAACTGAAGACGGTCATTTACTTTATAATCCAATATTTAATGTATTTTTTATATTATATAAATTATTAATAGGTTTGATTCAATTTAACGTGTATTTTCTTCATTTCAGAGCATGTAAAAGAAAGCTTGTTTATGAAAATGCTGTTTTTCTATTAATTTGATTTTCATTTTTCGGTTATCTCTGGACATGTTCATCAGTTTGTTCATTTCCTTAGCCGAGTTTTAACTTTTTAAAATTGGTATAGAAGCCATCTTGTTTTTTTCTACTTTGAGTTCCCCTTCAACATTTTCATTTGATATTCTTATAATAGGATTGCATGAAAAATATAGTCCACCACATTCGGGATGTTGGATTTAGAATGATGTCACTTCAAAATTTGGTTACGATACAGGGACAGGTGAAACTAAAATTTATGAAAGGCCAGTCATGATGTTGAATTTGAGAGAATCACTAAGAAAGAATAAGACGCTTATACAATGTAGGTATTATATTTGTTCGTATGAAATTTCGTTCTTTGTAATTTGATGAGATAATAGATAAATATTTCACTTGATGGATCCATGTAGCTTCTTTCATTATCGAGGCTAATCTAACAAATGACAGAATTCAACATCTGCACACGATAAATTAGGGCAGAAATTACTCTTCCATCCAACCATCCAAAATCTAACTATCTTTGTCATACCAATTATCTTTGATGCAAATACGATACATTCAGAAAATATAATTTTCTTTTCATTTTATTTCATTCAAGAACCTACGTGAAATTCAAAATTTTCCATCCACAATTGAAATGATTATTTACACGTATAACAAATGAAAACAAATGAACCAGTCTTCATAAAAAATTTAACCTTTCCTTTGAATGTTCAACACCTTCAAGTGATGAAACTTGCTCATCAATAACAAATCATCATTCTCCACCAAGGTATATTTTTATTTCACAAACATTTAATAATCAAGCCATCAGTAAAAATTAAACATAGAATTAACTTCGATTGAAAAAATAACCATGAAAAAATAATGAGGATGAATGAAGAGTATACCAAGTGAGAGAAACGAGAGAAATGTTAACAATCTCTTCTTAAAACAGTATTGAAAAAATATCCATATATGAAAAATTTATTATCAACGTTACTAAAAATGTGGCCAGCAAGTAATTCAAAAACTAAATATATTAATAATAACTTGATTGATGTTTCTTCTTGATAAACGCACAATAAAACTTCAAGATCGCTAATTATTTGGATCACTTAAAATCAATTTATGTTTTTCAGGCAAAATAACGATGAGATTTACTGTAGTCCTACTATACTGTAATTCTATTCAAAATTTGCAGTAATTACTACCGCAGGTGTTTTTTTAGCCACTCAAACCTCTTTCGGGTGTTTTCCCCTAGGAATAAACATTTTATTATCATCCAACAATTTTTCCGATACTTGATTATACTGACTAAGATTGGTCCCAAATAATCCGAATAATTGGAGTTCTATTGTATTTTATTGTTTCAAATGTACTGAAACTAGTACCAAAGTACTAAAACGGCAACACCGGACTCTATATTGTGGCGAAATTCCACCACGGCTTCGCTCTGCCAAATAGTACGCGGAGAGCAAAAAGTTAGGAATATCGCGCAGTCGCCTACTCTTTGCGACCTTGAAAGTAGAGAAAGATTTGTTGCGAGCGAGCTAGCTATAGGAAAAAAAAAACTTGTGCGCGCCGGTGGTGGGGCCGCCCGAAAGAAAAGAGGGGAAAGTAAAGGGAGAAATTAAGAGTTAAGTAGTATTATGTGCGATCCCGTGAGCAAAGTTGATGTCGATAATTTGCACATAATCGAACGTTCTCGGGGGTGGCAATACTGGCAGCGAACAAATCGTTTTCAGGAGTTCAGGAGACTTGCTCGAATACACACAACGTACACTCCGGGTCGGCTGTGAAGGCTTGCATTCGTTCACTTTTACTTTCATTTGTGGCGCAACCGGTGTTGAAAACCCGTGCCCCAAAAATATAGTACACTCGACGCGAAGGCAGGACAGAGAGAAGACGCGATCGAACGCGGTGCACACTCTTCGGTGACGGTTCTTAGAGTGGTAGTGTGGTGGAGCTATGGCTCGGTGTTACGGTGGTGTCTTCTCTTCCGGTGCTCGCGACTACCCCGAGGATATACAAGTCGCGGGTGCCCTTTAGGACTAATCACTTCTCCGGGTAAGCACCTACAACCCCGAAAACATACCATACATGGCACCCTCCTCCAACCTGTTGCTCTCCGACATCGCCAATCGCAACACCCATTACGTGAGCGCATTGTTTCGGCGCGCCTCGTGCAATTGCTGGACTGCTTTCAGTTTTCATTATGTAACTCTCATTTCTATTATTTTTATTACATCACCGTTCATTAAATATCACTTAGCCAATAGGAAACTTTTTCGAATCGCTCGTTTTATTTCAGTGAATAGCGTCGGCTTTTGAAGGTTCTTTCTTTATGGGTCACCCGTTTTGTTTCTATGTTCACTCGCTGATGACCCATTTAAATTAATGCCAGGTTCTGTATCTCGTTACTCGGAGAAACTTGGCGGGAGCACTAAAAGATATTCCTTTTTCAATTCAAAGTCTTATTCACTCTTTCAGACTGGTCCCCAACACAGCACCAAAGAGAAGATATTCAAATTCTAAATAATGCGTATATTTCAATTTGAATTTTATATCATTGAGACTCTTTCTGGAACTGTTATAATGAATTCTAGTTCAGGAACGACATATTTCAAATGAAATGATCGTATCACTTTGGAGATCAGTTGAAAACAATGCACTACTTTCTTAAAACTTCAACAGATGTGGATATCAACAGGGATTCAGTAACATATATCAAAGAAACACAAACAATAAAATGAAAGAAAATTAATTTAATCTGACCACCATTTAACAAAACATTACTCCTTGGTGGGTAGAAAATGATTACTTACTAATATAGTTTGTTGAGCTCCGTAAAAAAAATTCATACAATTCTGGAACGAATGTAATTTTGAAAAAGCAGCACCCCCGTACAACCTGAAATATTGTGGTAACATCCAAAAACTCTTTACGGAGATGGGACCTATAAAAATTTGAAAAGTCTCTTTTCTAGATTTCAATATTATATCTTACGACAATTAAAATGTTCGGTATCTTCTAGAATCTCTATAGTTATTACAAATCGCCAGTATTCGCTAATGACATAGATACTACTATTTCACCACTGAATATGTATGAGGAATTTGGTGAAATGATCCAGAAAATTACTCAGTTCAATTCAGTGAAATAAATATCAACAGAATTGTAAACAATGTTTGACGTGGGTAAGTGAGAACATTAAAAAGTGAGAAGCGAAAGAAATGGTGTGAAAAATAAAAGTTCAAGTCTTCCAGAATCAGTATTTTCAAAAATTCCGAAAAACTAGATCAAAGCAAATGAGCTGAAAACTTATATAAAAGTAATCTTTAAGGTAATATCAGTTTGTAGTCTTCGAGGCTCCATGTAGGCTTCGAGGCTAATCTAACAAATGACAGAATTCAACATCTGCACACGATAAATTAGGGCAGAAATTACTCTTCCATCCAACCATCCAAAATCTAACTAACCACCGACGCAAGAATAAAACAGTTTTGCGTCAATTGAAAATGAATCCGTCAAGTTTTTACCGTGAATAAGTTTGATCTTGACATATTCATTTTCTTTCTATTACATTTCTAGAATGCACCTGATTGTGAAAAATAAACGCACCTAAGTAAATCTGTGACAAATTATTGATCCTGTAGGCGAACTGAAAATTATTTCGAAATACCCTTGAATAAAGTTGCTCTGGAAGCTATATGCCAATAAAACAATATTGTAAAATGACCAAGTAACTAACAGTCTTAAAAATAGAGTAACCGACAAATATCAACGATCTCTTTAGGAAATGAGATTATTCATTATCTGCAATAACTCTAAAATAAATAATTACAGATCGTTCTGTTTAATTGAGACTTCTATTTCATCACTGAATATGTACGAAAAAATTGGTAAATTTGCTTCTGAAAATATGAATTGGAGTCATTAATAATTTAACGCCAGAACCATATTTGGATCAATAAATTGGCGTTAATTGAAAGAGGAACACAATCTGCTATTTATAGAGGATTGACCACATAAAAGTAATTATTTTGATAAATTTACTTAACAATTACAAAAAACTTGGTGGGAAAATTTGATGATAAATACATGAAAAATTTAACTGTATTCACAGTGAATATTATTGTATATTAAACATATCGATGATTTTATTATATTTCAAATACACAGGGAAAAGTCATACTTCTACAAAAATATACATTTTTCCAAACAGGTGGGATGACTACTGCTTCGGGCTTCTGCAATTGGCGGACGGCCAGAGAAGGCCTAGCCCATCCGCCAAATATTCAATATTTCGTCATAGCCTCAAAGGCTCTATGGAATTAAATTGACTCTCATGATATTTCCGAATAATTGTTGTATATCAACAAGCATTTACGTTGGTGCAAAATACAAACGGCGAAATCTTCAAATTTGCTAAAATGTGAGTTACTGCGCCCTTATATATGGTCTTTAATTAAGCGCTTTCTATCTTTAAATTTAAAGACAACAAAGTGTGTGTGAGATATCATTGAAATTTTTTATTCGTTTGAAAAAAACCTTGTATGTGGAATATACCATCGTTCTTCTCTGGCTGGAGCGCATCCGAAAAATCTAATTTTCCATGACTCTGACGCATGAATCAGGCGAATTTTGACCGATGACATGGGTTATGTTGGCTTTGAGTACCGCTGTGGTTTATGACTTATTCGCATACGCCTGTGACTTGATAAAACCGCACAAGAAAAAGTCCATGTCATCAAATCGCTTGTGTAAACTATCCAATGTGCTGTGAGCTGTGTGGCACGTAGAGCCGTCCTGTTGAAACCATATTATGTCGTTGGTGTCCAGATCATCCAATTCAGGCCAAAAGGAGTTAGTAATCATCGACTTATAGTGCACGCCGTTGAAAGTGATGCCCTGGCCAACGTCGTTCTCAAATAAATAAGGACCCATGAAGCCGCAGCCCAAAATCCACACCAAACAGTGACTTTTTGGGATGCATTAGACTCTCTTGGATCTCATGTGGTTTGGTATCGTCCCAAATTAAACAATTCTGTTTGTTCACATACCCCTTCATCCAGAAATGAGCCTCATCGCTGAAGATGATTTTTTGATGCTCCAGCGCCCATTCAGCGAACACACGTCGGTGTCTATGGTCGTTTACCTTCAGTTCCTGAGTCAGTTGAATTTTATACGGGTGCAAACCCAAGTCACGACGCCAAATTAGCCAAGTTATGATCTTCGAAAGGCCGAGTTCTTGTGAGTCACGCGAAATCGACTGCCTCGGATTCTCCTGCGCACTCTCACAGACAGCGGCAATGTTTTCGTCAGATTTTGCGTTCCGTCAACATACGGGTGTTGGTTGATCATTCACTGAACCAGTGGACTCACATTCATCCACCACTTTGCGAATAGTTCGAGGTGCGCGGTACGATGCACGAACAGAACACACTTTTTTATGAAACAATTTTATTATTTACACCTGTTGTTCATTGCTATATCCGTCCATGGTGATTTGGCAAAACAAAATGACAATTGAATTGATAGATTTAGTTATCACTTGTCAAAGTTCGGAAGTTGGAACACCCTATACAATGGTAAAGGTGAAGGTGTGCACTCAATCATCTATGAGTCATAATGACTTCACGGATAATAAGCATGCCATGTAATGGAGTTATAATGATAATAATAGTAAAATCAATAATAATATTTATTTCACTTGTTGAAATATTAACAGTGAATATTACTTATATGAGGTCATGTCTAGTCCAAATTCTTGTACTTCATAAACGGTGTAACAATTTCTGTCAATGTGATTTCAGTGATCATTTGAACATTGAGATTGAAGGACTTTCCACGCTTGTTGAAAATTAATTTCTTATGGTAAACACCAGTTCGATGGAGCTAAGATATTAGCACCTCTCTACCGCTACAGGGTGAGGATGAATCTTCATGATTGAAGAAGAATTCACACATTTTTTCATGAACAGATAAACGTAAAGTACACACACACACACTCACACACACAAATATACGAAGTTGTTTTTTTGGTATCTCAAATCCATTGATAATGGAAGAATTGTCTGTAGAAGTTTCATCGAAATCCGATGCTTCATATCCCGTGAATCCAATATGACTCATAGATCAGTGCACATTACGCCAGTTGCATTTTTCATCAATAAAGTTGCTTGTAGCTATACAACAATTATGAATAGACTGACTCGTTACTTGATGGAAATTAATAACATTAATAACATTATCAATGATAATAATTACATAATTAGCTTTCTCGATATAAACCGGGGAAGCCTCCGTGTTTGTGGAATTGCGAAATATTACATATTGGGCTGATGGGCTAGGCCTACTCTGGTCGGCCACTAGCTCTTGCCGCCAGTTTCAACTTCATAAATAATTGCGGAAGCCGTAAGCAGTCATTAAGGTAATAATGTAGAAATAGGAGTGCATTATGTTCTGCCAAATTTTTTGGGGAAAACAGGAAACTTAATACTCAATCAGAAATTTTTTGATTATTCCCAATTCGGGAATAAAAATGTGACGAGAACAATTCTGTGTACCTACTCGCAACAAAAATATAATTTTAGCGTATGTTAAAAAACTTTAGAAGGTTTTTTATTGGAATTAACAGATTTGTTTCACTAAACCATAGAAATTTCATTAGCACAACACAAAACCGACCGGTTTGACATCTACTGTAGGGCTGAAAAATCCTCCGGTTTCATTTTAATTTCCTTGTAAGCAGTTTACAATTTTGCAATATATTTTCAAGTCCGAAGTATTAACAATTTTTCTACTAATTTCGAAATGGTGAAGATAGTTTTGATGCCCTAATTATTTAACAATTCTTCGTAATGAACCCTGAATATAAAGTAATGAAAATATAAATATAAATAAAAAATAGTAAATAGTAAATGAGTCAAATGAGTTAAAATATAAAATAAATAAATTTCCCCCATCAAGAAAAAAATTCACAATATCCAAGGAAGATGAGATATTTCGAAAAACAAGAATATTCCGAAAGAACATCATGATATGAATATTCATATACTGTGCCG